CTCATGAACACCTTACAAACAAACAAACAAATGTAAAGTAGCATCTCTGAATAGTGACTGGGGTAGCCTGTGTCCTGCCAGTCATCTCCTGGTACCTTCAGCAGGGATTGTTTGATTATATGTTTTACTCTGCCTAACTTGTCTGCAGTTTCATTAATTTTCAGAATTTTCAGCATTTAGTATTCATCCAAATTTTCCCATCCACTGGGAAAACTGACAGGATCACATTCTCTGGCTGGGGGAATATCTAAATTGTCTTGGTTGGAAACCAACTGCAAGACCGACCTATACCTATAGATTCACATAAAATTATTGAATAATTTCAGCTAGAAGGTACCTCTGGAGGTTTCTGGTCCAACCTCCCCTCTCAAAGCCAGACCAATTAGATGCTGCTGCTTAGAGCCTTAAGCAGTTGAGTTTTGAATATATATAAGAAGTGAGATTTCCTGACCTCATTAGCAACCTGTCCCAATGCTTGACTACCATAATTGTGGAAAAAAATAGTTCCTAATATCTAATCAGAATATCATCTGTTCTGATTTGTGTCCATTACCTTGTTTTTCTTCCACTATGTGCTCCTGAGAAGAGTCTGGCTACAGACTCTCTACACCATCCTGCTAGGCAGCTGTGGACAGCAATAAGATTTCCCCTTTCATCTTTAGAAAAGTCTGTCGTTGTTTGTTATAGCATACCCAGTATTCTGAAACTGTCACCTTCAGTTCTGCAGATGAAAAAAGCAATTGCTAGTGAGTTTGGTATCCACTCTAGTAGAAGTAGTTTCAATCTCTTGACCAGAACACAAAATATTGATTCCTTCCACTTGTTTCATATGTTTCTTTGTGACAGATGTTTCTAACATCTTCACTGGTAGAGGAACTATTCCTGATTCCGTCTGACTTTCTGCTTTTCTTCCTTTGTAATAACTGTGATCTCTTTACAATAGATTTTTACCTATCTCATGTTGTTACTCAGTGTCGCTGATGAATTTCCACTTCATCCAGGAACATATTTTGTTGGTACCTACAAGATCTTGAAAAGATCTAGTTTAAGCCCCTCAGGTTTTTTCGTAGCCTGCAGTTTATGAAGACAGACTGGTAGTGTCTGCCATATGCTCTTTCCTCACGATTGTTTCTCACAGTGGCTTGCACTCTTGTAAAGTGCTGTATGTGGACAAAAGCTTTCAGATAATTTTGCAATAGAACCCCCATCCTCATCCTTTCTTAAATCACAGATGTTCAGGTTTTCTCACATGCTAACCATTTGAGAAGGTCTATGTCTTCTGCTGGACACCTGGTAAACAAATTCACCTGATGAAATGCAAGACTTCTTATCCCTATTTGCAGCCTATGATTTCATATTCTGGCCCTTATTTTAACTTTTGACTCCTAGTTTGTAGACATTGATAATTCTGGTGTAAGTCCTGGAACCACATTATTTGAAAGCAGGCAGGAAAAAAAAAAAGCTTATCAAATACTGTGCAATTTATATTCCAGTTCATTTGACCCAATGAATCTTGATGAATGTGGCATCTCGGTAAACTTCAGATGTCTGTGACGCAGCCACACAGTTGTGCTGGTTGCCTAGAGTCCAGTGAAAGTTAATGAGAGAAACAGACATTTCTAGTATGCAATTCATGTTATCCTAAGCCATATAAATCACAGGTTACAGGCATCAGTTTCTTTCCACTGCTTAAGAAGGGGATCTGGAAGGTTAGCTTGGGCAGGCTATATCATCTAGGACAGATGTCTAAAATTAGGCAAGAGTCTCCTCACTTCTAGGACTTATCAGTCTTAGCATTCTTTTAAATTATTCCTTGCTTCAAGGACCCTTGTGTCCAGCAATGTCAATTTTCTTGCCCAACACCAAGAAATAGTTGATTTCAGCGCAAAAAATGTAAATTTAAAACAGTGCAACTGCAGCCCACATTAAATGAAAATTATATGCCCTTTAGGCATGTTAGAAGTTTAAAAAAGTTAAAAGAGCTGTAGTTGAATGTCTTTTTCCTATGACTTCTACAACTAAATCTGTAGGTCTAATTTTGTCTTCATTTATAAAAGTTAGTATTATTAACGAATCTACATAGATTAAAACATGGCTGAGTGAGGCCCACAGTAAATATCTCTCAATGAGATATTTCAATATCTCATAATATTTCTTTTTATTATCATAATATTTTTTATATGCAACATATATCCACAGGTATTCAGACAGTGAGACAGAAATGGACAAATGAAATGGAAAACTTCAGACTAAAAATAGATTTCCCTGGAGGAAAGGATATTACTTCAGAAATACCAGTGGAGAAACCTTATTCTCAATATGAGAAAAAACCACAGAACTATAGAAAAGTGTGACCCATTTAAAAGGTCACCTAATCCTTCTTTTCCTCCAGGCAGGATAAACTAAAGCTACATTGCTTTTTTTTACAGATGTTTTATTAATCTCTTCTTTAAAGCTTCCAAAGACAGGCATTCTAAAATTTCTGTGGCAATTTATCCTTTGTGCTTAACTACTCTTAGCAGAAAATTCTTTTGCTGTAAATTTCCTTTGCAATACTTTTAGCACATTGTCCTACTACAGCAGAAATGGAGAACAGTTTAGTTCCATCCTCTTGGTAGTACATTTTAGGTATTTGAAAATTGTTTAGATATAACTTTCTTCTATTTCTAGATTAAAATGCATCTGTTCTTAAAAAATTTCTTGAGAGATAACAGGTGTTATTTTACCTTTGTCATTCTCACTGCTTTTCACTGTGGTTTCTTGAACTGTTTAAAAGGGATATATTCAAAACCAATGAAGAATTTCTGCTGATATCTAGAAAGTGCAAACTGGAGCAGAAGGATTATTCAGCTTATTTTAACATGCAATCACCTCATTTTTACAACAAAGCAAGACAATGTTGATTCATCTTTAGCTGTGATGTCTTATGATTCTCTGATCCTTTTCTGATGAAATTACCCAGTTACTCCATATCTTGTTTTTGTGGAACTGTGAAGGACTTGGCTGTTGCTGAGGTGCAGACACAAGTATAACTGACACCACAGCAAAGCCTGTTTGTTTGAGGGAGTAGAGTTCAGTTGAGGAGCAAGGAAATTTTGGACAAAGTGGAAGTTTGACTTCACAGTTAAGGTATAGCCATTCAAAAAACAATAAAAGCCCAGTGCTACAACAGAAAATAGATGGAGCTCCAGCAGGTGCTGCAGGAACTGGCTACTTCTCACTAGTTGTGAACTACTTCCCTGAGCAAGGCAGATGCACACATGTTTCTTAAAGCCAGAGCAATTGAATTAGAGATACAAGAAAAGGTTAACACCCATGCAAAGGTGATAACCATGTATTTCCTTGCATTGAGAATTCTTTTCATGTTTGGTGATTCTTACTGATAGGAAGAGGTAGATAAGTGTTGAAAGTTGTATGAGCTGTGGGACTTGTAGCAGCAAGAGCAGTTTGGTTGCATACTTTCTGAGTAGGTATTTCCTTTTAGTTATTCTGCAAACACAGTATTTTGAGAGTGTCTGCAAAAAAGCACGTGATCATGATCTCTATGAGTACTGATGTCACGAGAAAGGCCAGGGAAGTGTTTGGGAGACAGAATTTAAGCTTATTAAATTTAAGCTTATTTTTTATCTTAATTTACATCTAAGAATTTAGATGTAAAACTGAAGATCTGGACACCCTTGTATAACCTTTGTTTATATTCTGGTTCAACTCACAGGATGAGACAAAAAAGGGGTAATTCCTCAGCATGAACTGGGAAAATCTGATAGGGAAAAGAAGGTGGCCTAGAATGACTAGGAGTGAGAGAACTTTGGGAATATATGGAATTTACACAATTGTCATGAGTAATGGCCATGCTCAGGACATGATGATTAATTGCTACATGTAGCAGAGTGGACAATGGAACTCAATGCTCAGTAGCAGTCAGAAAAATTTGCATAAGACATGCAAAAGAAGAAAGGAAGTGAAAAACCCAGGAAGCATCTGTATGCCTGTCTGTGGATTCAGATTGTTTATCTAATTGAATGCTGCATGCAGTTGTGGTCTGTCCATTTTGGGAAAAAAAAAAAAAAAAAAGAGAAAAAGAAAAAGAAAAGGTAAACCAAGAAAAGATATAAAGAATAACAAGAAGAATAATCTGGACTTCTCACTAAGAGTGAGTGAATAGATATCAGGGTTCTCCAACTTGGAATAACTGCATGGAAAGTACGATGGACATGTATGACTGGGAGTGAATGAATTGAGTACTGTTATTTTTTGTCTCTCGCAGTAAAAGAAGTAGAAGATATCACAGAATATTATCTGACACCAGGTTTAAACATAATGAAGTCTTTTTTTCTAATATATTATTAGTTCCATTCATCAGGGGTGGAATGTTTCAAATGGGAATTTGAAAAATTTGTGTGAAAAATTAATGCTTTAACAAGACACAGAGAGAGATTCGGTTTCAAACTGTGTCGCAGATTACCAGAACTGTAATACAGGGAGTGTCTCCATATTATTGTCCCATTCTTATAATCCATCTTTTAAGTGTGTATTCCAGGGTCCTGTTGTGGATGAGATATTAAACTTAATAAGCCCTTATTCCGACTCACTATTTGCATATCCTGCAAGTACTTCCAAAAATCACATCTGAGGAAAACTGATCCAGGCTCTAACCCCAGTTTCCATTGATTTTTAATCCTCTGTCTCTCACATCTCCCTGCTTCCCCATCCCTTTGTTCCTGTAAATTCCCGTCAGTCCTAGCACTGACAGACTATTCTGGTAAGTTGCTGCAGGTCCCCAAACTTTGACCTACCTATTTAGACTGGAAATCACTCTCTTGTAAAACCAATAGCGTTTCTAGTAGAGTTTTTTCCACAGTGTTGTAATGCAAACAATGACATCTTGTCATATTCACGGTCAGAGTATTCATTGTCAGAAGAGTAGAAATCCCACAGACGAATGTGTGTCATTGGTAACGAATCACTAAGTGAGACATTGGCTGGTTCATGTTTAACAAAGCCTCCTGCTTTATTCTACCAGTAGTGAGAAGCAGAAATAATTGACATTTGAAATATAAACTTTTTTTCAGGTCAAAAGCAGGGAAAAGAACCAAACAAAATCAATTTTCTTCTTCTGTCTTCAGCTTTTCCCTAATCCCTGAGGCGACAATTGCAAAAAACAGCTCTGGGAAGAAGGTACGAATGTAAACTGCTGCTCTGGGGATAGGGTTGGCCATAAGTACCTCCTGCTTCTTGCTGCTCACTGTGCACAAGACTTCCTCTGCCACCTCCACTGGGTGCACACCATATGCCACCTTTCTGAAAAAGACTGTAAATCAGAGAGGAGTGAGAGTTACACACAGATAGCCAGATAGACAGCCAGACAAATCTGAGGGAATGGTGGTGAAAAGATACATAGCTAGTGCATCAGTCAAATTAGTTAAATTCCTACACACTTTCAATCACTTACCCTTTCCCTTCTTCTCATCAATATGTCCCTAAGATCTTTTTACAGTTTTGAAGCAAAATCGTCACAGTCCCTGAGAGAATGAGCAACTTGAATGCAGTGGAACTCTCCCTTGGGACCTTTTGTGCTCTGCTTTATCTCTATTCCCCATGCCCTGTATGTGTTTATTTTGTCACATAATGTTGTCTCTTTCCATGTTCCTTTCTCTCATTTCCATTCTTTTCCCTATGATCCTTTCTTCTCCCTGGAAAAAGCCTCCATACTGCTATATGGGCCTCATCTACCATCTCTCTTAATGCATCAGACCTTACATTTCCAAATAGATGCCTCCCAGTTGCCAGGTGCTGGTTGGCGATGGTACGAACAGATGAAAGTCGGATTCACAGTGCTGACAGAAATATCAAATTCTTCCATTTCAGCTCTAAGACAGTCAAAAAAGCCTACAGCAGCATGCTTAGAAGCAGCATCTAGAAGAAAGAAAAAAACCCAACATACGCATGTTTGTATGTATGAATGCATGGATATAGCTGTATGATAGAGCTCTGTAAAACATAAATGTTCGGAAAACTGAGCATGCAATGATTAGCCAAAAGGCAAAAGAACAGTGCATTATTTCACCCAGTGAAATTATAGAATGACATACGTAAAACAAACAAAAGAAAATTATTTGTACAGGACAATTATGCCTGAGGTATGCAGTCAGTATCCCTATACATATCAAAGAGCATGTGTCTGGATTTCCCAAACAGAAATATTAAGTCCTGGGTTAAGAAACAATATATCTATTATCTCTACAGTTTAAAAATGTCTTTGGTGGATGGACAGCTCTCCTTGAGATGAACGTACACACCATCTGTTGCTGCAGTATGTGTCACATCAATAAAATGCAGTGAAATGCATGGTTGGACTCGATGATCCCAAGGGTCTCTTCCAACCTAGACAATTCTATGATTCTATGAAATACGTGCCCATTTCTGGAATGCAAGAGTACTAGTGGCTTGTAAACTAATTTGGCCTTTGCCTTGCAGCAGCAATCCAAGATGCTTTTAATATTAAAGTTAATATTAAAGTAACTGAATGTTAAGAGGTTTTTTAACTGCTCTTAGTGCTTTTTTATGGAGAATGTTATTAAAGAAGTACGTCAGTATGTGAACCTTGACCAAAAACCAGAACTATGTTTCAAGTGCAGCAGACCTGCAAAGCACTCGTCCACCTTGTATTTGGCTCAGTTAGCAGTGAGAATTGACCTGTGCATAATATAATCCAAAAAAAGTCAGGTGGGCTCTGGGAATGGGAAGGAGCTTCTCTATTTATTTGTTTTGAAATTCCTTCTTCTGGCAGCTTCATTTCATGCAACATAGATATTGATAGAGGCATTGTAAAACTATCTATGTTAGCTCTTCTACTACTCATGATTTGTACACACAATGTATTTTGACACAACTGTTTCCTGGATGGTAACCATTTTAGAGGTTCCATCAATGTGTCATTTCTTTTCTGAGCTGTGGGAAAGTAATGGAAGATTGGTGAGGAGGATTATAAACACGCTCAAGTGATTTGCACCTTGGGGTGCTGGACAACGCATATATCACACTAATTGTTCTTCAGCCATATGTGCTCGCAAGCCTGTGATGGACCCAGGGACACCTTATCTAGCATACATGAGATTACTGCCTTGTTGTTGAAGATCAAAGCACAGTGGAAAACTATGCCTGCTTGAACCCTTGAGAAGCAAGCAAGAACAGCAAGTTGGAGCTCACACACTCCTGCTAAGAAGGACTTTCTCCTGCTCTTCGGTGCCTGTATCCCCTGCTCATGTTCCTCTGCACAGGTGTTGCTTTGGAGATTCCCTGATTCACGAGGTATCAAGAATAAAATTTGTTCTTCATCTTTCGTCCGTGGTTTTGTGGTAGTTTCTGTGTCCTGCCCGAGCCGGCTCACACATGAGCATTTTTTGTAGTTCTTATACTTCTTTTGTGATGGGGGAGGGAGACGAGAATTGCACACAATATTCAAGGTATGGGCACTGCATAGATTTATGTAAAGACAGGATTTAATTTTTTTTCTCTACTGCTTTCCTTCCAGTTTCTGTCACTGTATTTTGCTTTCATGAAACTATAAGTCATAACCCTGATGTCTCACAGACCTTTTAATTCAGAGCCCATCATCCACTCTGACCTCTTGCCACAGTTAAAATTGTCTATTTACATCTATCCTGTATTTTCTGTCCACTAACTTTGCATTTTATTAATGCAAAGACCTTTCATTTTCAATTCAGGACAGCTTAGTTTCATTAGGAGCTCTGGATGAAAGACCTTCTTGTAAATTTTCTGGAAAGTCAAGCAGAATAGGATTACTACACCTCTTTTTAAACTCCCACACATGCTTTCTACTAATATGTCCAGTACAGATGTTAAACCTACTAGTTTGCTGTTTTCTGAATGTCTCCTAAGACCATAAAAAAACCATTTGCTATCCTCTTGTTCTCAAGTACCTTAGGCAGTAGTTATACTTCAAAGATAGCATTCTAACTACTTCTGCTTGAGTTCCACTTTGAAAGTCTTTCAACCAAATAGTGTATTAATAGTTTACTGTATTAGGATGCAAATTAGCACTTTTAATAGCCTATTATCAGTGACATGGAATATTCACAATTTATGCAGTAGAATGTACATTTTTGCTCAGTGTAACTTACAAGCTGCACGAAATGGGATCCCTATTTTTCCTTGGATACTATTAATTAAAACAATTTGGCCAGTTCTTCTTGAGATCATGTTGGGAAGAATGGCTGAAAAAAAAAGAGAAATAAAAGGAAGAGCCACATAAGTGAAAAAGCTCTATGTACATAGTGAAAAGAAGTGACAGCTGAAGTGTAGATAGCACAATGAAGGTTGTCTCAATATTGCAATCAAAAGCATCAGAAAATCTAGTAGCTGGAAATTGAATGTTTGCAAGTCTTCACTTGGATTCTACACATAGATTTGGGTGCAGTATTATCATGTTTAATTGTCAGCCTGTCTGTATGCTTGCAAGGGTTTTGAAAACAATTGTCTTTGTAACAAAGGTAGCAAGCGCATAAATAAAGGAGTCAGCATATGCAAAATGCAATAAGCAGACATTTTAAAAAATGTCTGTCTTTCAAACCCCCGTTCATATATTACTTGACCAATCTATTTCCAAACCTAGGCACTCTGATTTTGATCTTTTTCACCTCAATTTCAGTCCATTGATTTTCACAGAATTGTTTTTGATTATAGTGAAGAAAGAAAAATAAGTGCCAATGAAAGAGTGTAATGCCAGTGACTTGTATCTCTAGCTTTTAGTGGCAATACCAAAACAGGACAAAAAATTAAAATACCTTTTGTTAATGTTATAGGTCCAAAATAGTTGGCATCCATTATCTTTTTGTCAAGTTCCAATGAAATGCTCTGCACTGCTCCTTTCACTTTCATACTTGCATTGTTGATCAGTATATCCACACAGCCGTAGCAATTAAGGATTTCCTTAGCTACATCTTGAATGCAGCTTACGTCTGAGATATCCAGAAGCATTAGCTTTGGTGCATATGTCTAATAAAGAAAAGATTTATTTGAAGTATACCTGTTATATAAAAATGTATTTCTATTTACTTGTCTTGTAATTTAATTTACCTTGATACCTGAAGAAAGTGCTGTTTTCATTCTCACAAAAACCTTCAATTTGTTCTTTTAACCCACTCTAGAAAGAAGGCATTTCAGCAATGGGTATTCATAGAGTCTGAAATTCAGATGAAGCATAGGAAGGGTAAGCTGAACTAGCTCTACCCCATTGTGTTTTGTCTCTCTTGTAGTCAATGGCAACAGCTAATAGACACAGGCAGTGACTCCTACCACTGCAAGTTATGGTCTTTCTGTAAGCAGCCCTCTGGAGAACTTTGCTTACCACAGAGTCTAAGAGAAAGTGTAAATAGGATATAGTGTAAATAGATAATTTACATATACATGGGGTGCATTTGGAAGGTAGGAATGGCTTGTTCAGCTATAGATTATCCAAACAGAGTTTACATTTCTACGATTTCTGCAAAGATGTAGATTTTATCAGGTACAGGACAGAGGAATGAACTCTGAGTATCTTCTCTTATTATATTATTATGACAATGTAATGCAGATCCCTTAGTCATACTTAGTATTTTTTTCCTAGTTGAGTGTGCACAGACTAACATGAACAGACTACTTTTATGGTTATTTATGAATGATGATGAAGTTCACTGAAAAAAAAAGGGTCAAACATAAATATTTGTTGGTCCAGTGAGCGATAATTTGTGAGATGCCTTCAGGAACACCTGTGCCCTGAAATGAGTCAGCTATCTGTTGGTCACAGAAGGAAAGCTTTCCCATAAGCATCAAAGAAACACCTCTTCAAAGAACTGGCAGCAGGGGCAGCCTTGGATGTCTATTTCATGGTGACTCAGTCAGTGGTAAAGAGGAAAGGGCATTCTTATTCATATGATCCTGTGCCCTTCTAGCTGGGACTTCTCCCAAAGTAGTGGAGAAACTCAAAATTAATTCAGTCTTTAGACCCATCTCCCACTCCCAGAGCCAGTTCATGCGAAAAATATTTGATAGTTCCTGTGATTAAATGAAGCACTTGGGATCCCTTTCAGATAAATTAACAGGCAAATTCCTCTGCCTAGCATTTCTAGTTAGGTGGCTTGTTCAAAATGCAGGATCACTCAGTTGCTTTGCAGTAATTGCCTTGACTTGGCTCAAGAGAGCTGGATTTCTCACATACTTTCAGCATCACGCTCTGAAGACCTTCAGAGGTGTTTCTCTCTCTTTCTCTCTCTGGACTGTGTTGGGTATGTGGAGTGGGTGACCAAAATCACCATCATGTTTCATGTATCTTGTTATACTGGATTTAAAAGCGCTTTGTGTACCTGAACAAGGTGTTTACCTCAAGTTGTGAATTTTCAAAGCAGAGCGAGGAACTACTTACCATACTCGGATCTGCCACACTAATTAAAGCGTCATACAAGGCTTCCAACTTTTTCCATGACCTGCCACACAACACAAGCCTTGCTCCTCCTGTGTGAAACACTCGAGAACATTCTAGGAGAGAAATATGTTCAAAAGAAATAATAACAATAATAACAATTTGATTTTATTTATTTTGTTTGAAATTGGATGCTGGTTTTACTAATGATGTTGAATCTATGCTTTAAAATTCATTAGTTTTAAAAGAATAAACATATATGAGAAAAAAGAAAGCACTAAATGACAATAATATGTATGAGTAATAAATTAAAATGTAATATAATGGTATAATGCACCAACCAACCCCAGTATATAATTAAACTGCATCTGTATGCTACCTTCATGAAACTCTTGGCAACATGAAACTTGTCTACAACTTTGAGAAAGAGCAATACAGAGAAACTTACCACTGACTGGCCCACAGATGAAGCACCGAAGAGAGAGGCCTTTCTTCTACAATGCCTTTATCTCCTGAGTATTAGGTCTTCCCAGTAGTCAGGAGAGGCATCAAGGATCAGCTTGAACTACTTCTTGTTCAGCTACATTCCCTGAAGCCTTCCTGAGAAGGCCACTGAGAACCTTCTGGGTATGCTGGGTTGGCACTGCTTTTTCTACATATATTCAGGGATATTATGAGCTAGGGGTTGACCCCAGTTTAAGCTAGGTCTCTGGGAAGGATTCATCTCCCTTTCTTATGCAAATGAACTATGATTCTGCTTTTCAAAAAGTGGCAACTCACATAACAAGAGCAACTGACAGTCACTGTTACCCGTCATCCCACCTCAACACTGGCTACAAGTCTGCAGCCAGTTCATTAGTTTAAGTCTTTGTGGGAGTATGTGATCAACTCTATCCAGATTATGAAATACCAGGTTGGAGCATCTTGACAACGTGTCTTTGGTCTACTTTCTTCCCTAGGTGGTGTTGAGGGAGAATATATTCCTCACTGTCCTGTCAGTTTGACCAAAGAAACATCTTTTGAAATGTGTTTTAAAACATGGAGCATAGATATCTCATGGGCATCTTTTAGGAACTCACTGTCAGTTATACTGCTCTCACTGTTATATGCTGATACAGGGTGCATGTTCTAGCTCAGATGAACTGAAACTGTGGCTCCCAGCCCAGGAATCTGTCAATGTTGTCATCCTGGCCAGGAAAAGTACACAATTGCTCTGCTTTTTCTTTCTTGGAATAGCTAATGTCTTGCAGATAGGCCTGAGGATGTGACTGATGATGTGGCCACTGTGCAGCCTGGTAATTAGTTGACAGAGGTTTATATGCGCTGGTAGGACTGGAAATCAAGAGTTATTCTTCTTCTCATTGTTTTTGTTTTTGTTTTTTTTCCTCGTTAGGTCTTCCAAAATGCTCTCAGCCTTGGAGCCCTCATATTTGGTCCCTAAATCAAATCTGTATGACAGTTACATATTCAGCATGGGAAGAACAGCAATACAGTCTTACAATTAGTCTTATGCCATTCCAGCTGTTTGATTTGTCTTATCTCCTACAACCTTTGTTGAATGGGCAACAGTACAACCCAGGTGCTACAGCTGTCTATCCTCCAAAAAGCATTTTCTTCAGACTTCAACACCCACAGGCAAATCCTGTTATGCTAATATGCCCGTCTCAGATTTCTTAAATCATGGAATGGTTTAGGTTGGAAGGGACCTTGAAGATCATAGATTCTCAAGCCCCCTACCATAGGCAGGGACCCCTCCACTTGACCAGGTTGCTCAAAGCCCCATCCAGCCTGACCTTAAACACCTCCAGGGATGAAGCTTCCACAACTTCTCTGGAAAACCTGTTTCACTGCCTTACAACCCTCAAAGTAAAAAATTTCTTCCTACTATCTAATCTAAATCTACCTTCTTCCAGTTTGAAGCCATTCCCCCTCGTCCTATCACTACATGCCCTTGTAAAAAGTCCTTCCCCAGCTCTCCTGTAGGCCCCCTTTAGGTACTGGAAGGCCTCAACAAGGTCTCCGCAGAACCTTCTCTTCTCCAGGCTGAACAACTCCAACTCTCCCAGACTATCTTCATATGAGAGGTGCTCCTGACCTTGGATCATGTTCGTGACTCTCCTCTGGACCCAGTCCAACAGGTCCATGTCCTTCCTATGTTGAGGGCCCCAGAGCTGGATGCAGTACTCCAGGTGGTGTCTCACCAAAGTAGAGTAGAGGGGCAGAATCCCCTCCCTCAACCTGCTGGCCACAGTTCTTCTGATGCAGCCCAGGATACGGTTGGCCTTTTGGGCTGCGATCGCACATTGCTGGCTCATGCTGAGCTTCTGGTCAATCAGCACGCCCAGGTCCTTCTCCTCAGGGCTGCTCTCAATCCATTCTCCGCCAAGCCTGGATTTATGCTTGGGATTGCCCCGACCCAGATGTAGGACCTTGCACTTGGCCTTGTTGAACTGCATGAGGCTGGCTTGGGCCCACCTCTCCAGCCTGTCCAGGTCCCTCTGGATGCCACTCCTCCCCTCCAGGGTGTCTACCATGCCACACTGCTTGGTATCACTGGCAAAATTGTAAGGGTGCACTCGATCCCACTGTCCATGTCACCAACAAAGATGTTGAACAGCATGGGTCCCAGTACTGACTCCTGAGGAACATCATTCATCACTGGCTGATACTTGGAGATCAAGCTGTTGACCACAACTCTTTGAGTGTGACCAGTTCTTTATCCACTGAGTGGTCCATTTGTCGAATCCATGACTCTTCAATTTAGAGACCAGGATATCGTGTGGGACAGTGTCAAACGCTTTGAACAAATCCAGGTAGATGACATCAGTTGATCTTCCTTTGTCCACTACTGCTGTAACCTCCTCGTAGAAGGCCACCAAATTTGTCAGGCATGACTTGCCTTTGGTGAAGCCATGCTGGCTGTCACAAATCACCTCCTTGTTTTCTGTGTGCCTTAGCAGAGTTTCCAGGAGGATCTGCTCCATGATCTTGCCAGGCACAGAGGTGAGACTGACTGGCCTGTAGTTCCCCCGGTCTTCCTTTTTCCTCTTTTTGAAAATAAGGGTTATGTTTCCCCTTTTCCAAACAACAGGAACCTCAATAGACTGCCACAACTTCTCAAATATGATGGATAGTGGTTTAGCAAATTTGCTGGACACGGTACTCCAGGTGGGGTCTCACGAGAGCTGAGTAGAGGGGCAGAATCGCTTCCTTTGACCTGCTGGCCACGCTTCCTCTGATGCAGCCAAGGATATGGTTGGCCTTCTCAGCTGCGAGCACACATTCACAGAATTCACAGAATTGTTAGGGTTGGAAGGGACCTCTGGAGATCATCTAGTCCAACCCTCCTGCCAGAGCAGGGTCACCTACAGCACGTTACACAGGACAGCGTCCAGGCGGGTTTTGAATGTCTCCAGAGTGGGAGACTCCACCACCTCTCTGGGCAGCCTGTTCCAGTGCTCCACTACCCTCAAAGTAAAGAAGTTCCTTCTCATGTTAAGATGGAACTTCCTATGTTCAAGTTTATGCCCATTACCCCTCGTCCTATCACTGGGTGCCACTGAAAAAAGACTACTCCCATCCCCCTGGCATCCTCCCATTAAGTATTTGTATGTATTAATAAGATCCCCCCTCAATCTTCTTTTCTCTAGACTAAAGAGACCCAAGTCCCTCAGCCTTTCCTCATAAGAAAGGTGCTCCAGTCCCCTAATCATCTTTGTTGCCCTTTGCTGGACCCTCTCCAGCAGTTCCCTGTCTTTCTTGAACTGGGGAGCCCAGAACTGGACACAGTACTCCAGATGCGGTCTCACCAGGGCAGAGTAGAGGGGGAGGATGACCTCCCTCGACCTGCTGGCCACACTCTTCTTGATGCACCCCAGGATGCCATTCGCCTTCTTGGCCGCCAGGGCACATTGCTGGCTCATGGTCATCCTGTTGTCCACCAGGACTCCCAGGTCCCTCTCCACAGAGCTGCTCTCCAGGAGGTCAGCCCCCAACCTGTACTGGTGCATGGGGTTATTCCTCCCCAGGTGCAGTACCCTACACTTACCCTTGTTGAACTTCATAAGGTTTCTTTCTGCCCAACTCTCCAGCCTGGCGAGGTCACGCTGTAAGGCAGCACAGCCTTCTGGCGTGTCAGCCACTCCTCCCAGTTTTGTGTCATCAGCAAACTTGCTGATGGTACACTCTATCCCTTCATCCAGATCATTGATGAATATGTTGAACAAAACTGGGCCCAGTACTGACCCCTGAGGGACACCACTTGTTACTAACCTCCAACTAGACTCTGCGCCACTAACCACAACCCTCTGAGCTCTATCTGTAAGCCAGTTCTCAATCCACCTCACTGTCCATTCATCTAAGCCACACTTCCTAAGCTTTCCTGTGAGGATGATGTGGGAGACAGTGTCGAAAGCCTTGCCAAAGTCAAGGTAGACAACATCCACTGCCCTCCCCTCATCCACCCATCTAGTTACTTTGTCATAGAAGGCTATCAGATTAGTCAGACATGACTTCCCCTTGGTGAATCCATGTTGACTACTTCTGATAATCTTCTTTTCATCCAGGTGCTTTGAGATGACTCCCAGAACAAGCTGCTCCATCATCTTCCCAGGGATGGAGGTGAGGCTGACCGGCCTGTAGTTTCCCGGGTCATCCTTCCTGCCCTTTTTGAAGACTGGAGTGACATTGGCTATCCTCCAGTCCTCAGGCACCTCACCTGTCCTCCAGGACCTTTCAAAGATAATGGAGAGAGGCCCAGCAATGACTTCCAGTGAAGACTGAGGAAAAAAGGTTGTTGAGTACCTCAGCGTTTTCTCTGTCCTGGGTGACCAGCTCTTCCATTTCCTCCCGGAGAGGGCCCACATCTTCCCTTGTCTTTCTTTTCTTGCTGATGTACTTAAAGAAGGATTTTTTGTTTGTCTTAATGTCCCTGGCCAGATTTAATTCAATCTGGGTTTTAGCTTGCCTAAGCTGATCCCTGGCTGCTTGAACAATTTATCTGTATTCCTCCCAGGCTACCCGCCCCTGTTTCCACTCCCTGTAGGCCTCCTTTTTACTTTTGATCGCGTCCAGGATCTTCTTGTTCATCCATGTAGGCCTCCTGGCTTTTCTGCCTGCCTTCTTTGTAGAGATGCAGTACTCCTGGGCTTGGAGGAGGTGATCCTTGAATATCAACCAACTTTCTTAGGCCCTTCTTCCCTCCAGTGCTTGATCCCATGGCACCATTCCAAGCAGATTCTTCAAGAGGCCAAAGTCAGCTTTCCTAAAGTTGTCAGCAGTTGTGCACCTTCCTTACTGCCTTGAGGATCTCGAACTCCACCATTTCGAGGTCGCTGCTGCCCAGGTTACCCTTGAGTTTGACACTGCCTACCAGCCCCTCCTTGTTGGTAAGGACAAGGTCCAGCATAGCTCCCCTCCTCACTGGCTCCTCTATCATTTGGAGAAGGAAGTTGTCATCAATACAATCCAAGAACCTCCTGGATTGCCTATGCCCTGCTGTGCTACTGTTCCAACAGATGTCAGGGAATGCCTATGTTAGACTCTTAATATCTGTATGGAAGCAATTCTGGATCCAGTCTTCTATTTTTGTAAGCCTGTGCAGCTGGAGAATTTTATTTATGTAGTCTTTTTCATTATTTACAACAGTAATTTTATGAATGTCTTCCATTTTCTTTTTTCTAGCATAGGAAGGTTTTTGATTTAAAGCTCAAAAGTTTATTTGCCAGTACTAGGACAACTAAACAAGTATTTTTGCTAAAAATATAACAGCTGGGGCAACTTTGTGAATATAATGTGTGAACAGCAATAAAAGGGAAAAAGGAAAACCAATAATGTTCTCTCCTAGAACTATCCTGGACTTTTCTGAGTCATAGCACTGAGAAGAAACAGGAATCAGGTTTAAATAACAACCATAAATCATTGCAAATATCTTCAATCATCGTAGTTTTTGTTTCTTTTTTAACTTGGATGAATGTCGTCTTTAGTCTGGAAATTCTGGCATGTGGGAAAAGGAATTTGGTTGTTGTCTAAGAGCCCAAATATGCAGCAGCTGGCCAGACAGCTGGTATTTTAAAGTGTATGGCCATTACATATGCATGAGCGGACTACACAGTAAATTCTGCATGATTTAGAATCATTCAAGCTCGTAAATAACTTCTCAGTATCACCCTATGGGATTCTGGCAGTAGATATGTTTAAGATAATAAAATAAAATTGCTTTGAGTTACTTCCTTTTTCATCTATGTGATAAAGGGAGTGGGGGGTGGGGGTGAGACGGCATCACGGATGGGACACAACTGCTTTTGTAGCCTCAAGAGACAGGCAGAAGCTAATCACAAAAAAAAAAAAAAAGATGAAGAAAAAGAATTCTAACCAGAAAATTAGCTTAGTAAGGCTCAGTATTATAATTGAGTAAGGGTCAATTATTTTTAGAGAAGTAGTGAAAATTCTGTCTTGAAGAGATTTAAAGTGTAGGAATAGTGCATTTTGATTCCCGCTCTCTGCAAGAGTAGAGACTAGATGATCTCATATTGTCCCTTACACATATATTTTCAGTGAAATTCAAGAACTAGATGACTGCGAAATAGGTTTTAAGAATATAAATCATAGAATAATACAATGGTTTGGATTGGAAGGGACCTTTAAAGGTCATCTAATCCAACCTCCTCTGCAATGAGCAGGGACATCTTCAACTAGATCGGGTTGACAGAGCCCCATGCAACCTGACTTTGAATGTTGTGATGCATCTACCACCTCTCTAGGTAACCTGTCCCAGTGTTTCACCACCTTCATTGTAAAAAATAGCTTCCTTATATCTAGTCTAAATCTTCCCTCTTTTAGTATAAAGCGATTACCCTTTGTCATATCACAACAAGCCCTGCTAAGAAATTTGTCCCCATCTCTCCTGTAGGCCCCTTTAGGTACTGAAAGGCTGCAATAAGGTCTTCCCAGATCCTCCTCCTCTCCAGGCTAAACAACCCCAACTCTCTCAGCCTGTCCTCATAGGAGAGGTGCTTCAGCCCTCTAATAATTGTTGTGGCCCTCCTCTGGACCCACTCCAACAGGTCCATGACTTTCCTGTGCTGAGCGCTCCAGAGCTGGATGCTGCACTCCAGGTGGGGTCTCAGCAGAGAAGAGTAGAGGAGTAGAATCATCTCCCTTCACCTGCTGGCCATGCTGCTTTTGATCCAGCCCAGGATACAGTGGGCCTTCTGAGCTGTGCGTGCACATTGTTGACTCGTGTCCAGCATTTCATCCACCAGTACCCTCAAGGTAATAAGGAAATTGAACTTAGGAAAATCTTCCCTACAGGTCATGTAGTGCTGGAGCAAGATACCTGAATAAATGTTCAATAAATATTCTTTATCCCTAGAGATTTCCAAGATTTGACTTGAAGCCACACCCAACCAGATCTAGAACTGGTGATGTTCCTTCTCCAAGCAGGACTTTTGTCTGGAAACCTCCAAGTATCCTATGATTCTATGAGACGCCCAACCTCATCTGGAGAACTCTAGATCATGCCTCTCCAAAGAAAAAAACTGAAACATAACCAATCAGAGAACACACATGTTAACATTATCTTCAAGAGAAAGTGAAGTGTGTCAGGGAAAGGGAAAGACCAAGTGGCATGTGGAGGTCAGAATTATTTTATAACTTGTCCTTAACAGGCTCTGATAAAGAGTCCTCCTTGCCAGTCTCGTATGTATTTCTGTTGCAGGTCTCTTCTCTGTTCTGCTAAAGAATAATTCTGAAAGAGCATTCCCTTTCCCCAACTATTTTCTGCTTGAGAATGCAAGGTTTCCAAAACACAGCAAGTCTTCATTGAAAATGTCAAAATGTAGTCTCAAGCTATGTTTGCCTTAGGATGCACTTGCACCTACTGCCCCTCAAGTGATGCCTAAAGCACAACTGTACATAAGCAATATATGACCCAGTACCTTTAATCTTGCAGTACGTTGTAGGCAGGAAATATGAGCCAAGAAGTCTATACTAAGTGGCTAGCCACCCAGGTAATCAGCTTATATAAACAGAAAAATTATTACATACCCTTTCCTTCCGCCCACTGAACCCACCATTACACATATCCAGGCAGCCCAGTTGGAGACACTGGAGGATGTTAAGGGCAGAGTAGTAACATGGGTGATAGAGGGGGCAGAGATATGAACAGGGACAGAGGGGTGAGAACTGTTTACAGGGAGCAGAAAATGTTTAAGTCTTTAAGGGCTGAAAAGGAACATGAGAAGAGTAAGGTGACACCTGTTTATACTGATTTGCTGCTTCCCTGCAGTGACAGCCTGTGTAATAAGATCCCACAGTAGCAACATGCTAAAAATAGCAAGATACTTGCACTCTTAATGTGCTTACAAAAACTCTTATTCTATTGAATTAAATAATTACAGAGCTCTGCAGTTCTTAAAATTTTACCAGCAGAGACTAAAACTGTATCTATAAAAAACATAGGATTTGTTTAAAAATATATTTAGCTTCTTCTTCATCCAGGCAGTTATGAATATCTAAAACGTAATGTACGCACATTTTATACCCTAGAGGGTGGTTCTGTGGCTGTTTCTGTTCTCTGACATTGAGAAGAAATGAGACAACTCACCCTTGCCCAGTCCAGAGATGGCATCTGTGATCACCACCACCTTGTTTTGCACAGCTGACTTGGACAATAGCCACCTGACTGACTGGTAAATATAAATAATTCCACTGATCCCTAAGAGAAGCAATGGCAAAGCAAGTACAGCAAGAATACCCATCTCTGCAGGAAACAAAAGACCATATGACAGTAACAGTAATCATAATATACATTCATTATTTTTCAAATTATTCATTATCTAAAAAAGACAGTGTTTTCATATATAGAAAATCCAGTAATCATCGTGCCAAAGGCTTGAAGCAGTGGGAAGCTTGTTTTCCAGTCAATGGTTTAATATTATTATTTAGTAAACAGGGTAATATTATTTGTTTGTCTGTTTTCCTCATCTTTGCATGGTCTAACCAAATCTGGATTCCTTTTGTTCAAAATGACTCTATGTTGGCATAACACCAAACTTTTAATTATGTTGCTATTACAGGAAAACAGATAAAAAGCTTTTAATCCTAATTTCAGATAAGACATATAGTAGAAGCATTTTATGTTCTAAAAAATAGAGAAAATAGAATCACTTACTCTGACTATGAAGACTCCAGGTACAGATAAAGCATTCTTTTGTATTTTTGTAAACTTTTGTATTACAGGTTTAAATAAAGTCCTTTAGCAAATTCATAGAGCACTGCTTTTGTTGAGGTTGCTTGTCCTGAATGGGAATGGCTGTGTATAGCCATGTGACAGAGATACTTTAAAAGTAAATATAGCATCTACAGTGTGATTTGCATGCCTGACCTATCTAGTCCAACAGGTGGGACAGTCATGCAAAATCTCCTAGTACAGTATCAATTCAACTCTAAGAAACATCTATTTTTCTGTCTTGCCTTTGGTTGTAGTTATTCATCTGACTGTCTCAATTTCTTGTCGTTGGCCTTTAATTAACTGTAAACATAAAAAAGTATATGATTACAATAGGTATTAATAAACAAGCAAAAAGTATCTTAGAGAAGTTGCCACTTGAAATAATCACTGTTCAGCAATATGAATGATGTATGTATGTGTCAGGAAAAGGTCTTTGAGCAAGCTGGCTTGGTAGCCAGTGCATCACACAGAGCTGATGTGGGCAGCTGAGTGCTGGAACACAGACCAGGCTGGGATACTGCACTTTCAGGTGCTACAGGCTGCTTTCCACTCTTGTTATCTGCAAGGCAGATGTGCCTTTTTCCCAGCAATTTCAGGATCATACCAACTTTAGGTAGGTGATCTAACTTTTGCATTCCTTTCAGAGACATATTGTCTTTTAACCTGACAATCATTGACAACAATGTGTTGCCCTCTGGGGTCTAGAGAAAAGAATTATTTACAATAAATCATTCCTGTTTTGCTGTTTCAAAAATTGTACAACAGTCTTGAAATTATAAGTTCTGATAACCAGATTCAGTACTCCTGATCATGCTGTGTAACTAGTTGTCTAAATTCTATGTTCTAATTTTCATCTCCAACGAGAGAATGGTAAGTCTACAAATGATAGAGAGTCATTGATATTGGACTGTTGTAGTAAGGAACAAAGACTTCATGGTTAGGTCTGCAGGTACCAGGACAGTGTTAGCTTTCAACAAGTGGGAAAGGATAGAAGGTTATTCAAGAGGGCATAGGAGGGAACTTTTAGACACAGTTTGTAAATCTAACTTGCTCTAGAAGCTAATGACATTGGGAATCAAGATGTGTATTCCTGTCCATGAAAGTTGAATTTGCCTGCCAAAGAACCATGATTTAAGATTTCTAAACCACAGAATTGTATAATGTGCCAATGTTTGAAACATCGTGTATGCCCTTCTAACTAAAAAGACTCCATAGTGAATGACAGATATGAAAAAATATTGTTTTCCACGGCAAAATAGTCACGGTGCCCTGAAATTTACATCAGTTTCCACAGGAGAATGTAAAAACTTTAAGTCAAATGAGCTAAGAAGTCATGCCAAGCCACCTGCAGAAGCACAGATGAAATATGATTTTCTATCACCTCTAAAGCCCCATCTATCTTCACTTACTTTCGAAGCACCAGCTTTAAATAAACAGATATGCATTTCCCTATCAGTAAGTAAGCTGTTTTTTTACCTTCGTGAAACATGATGTGTTCTTTGTTTAATTTATTCAGGGTTCTGGAAACATTTTTCTGTGAAGGTGAAACATCAAAAAAAAAAAGCACACACTAAAGAGAGAGGTTTTATAGGTTCCAAGTGATTTGTTTGCTTTGTTCACAAATGAAGCAGAGTAATGTTAAAAGCAGTGTAAGAGCAGGAATAGGAAAAAGTCAATTGAAAGAACTAGACAACCAACAAAGTGTAAGATTGTAATGATAAAATGCTAATATGTCTACTAATAATAATGAACAAGTGTAAAGGAAGACTGCCTGAGTCACGTGGAAAAATACATACAGTGACTGCAGTAACCAAACCATCCAAATTTTTCCAAACACGGATCTCTCAGTCGGATGAAGTACCAGCGAAATGTACTCTGCACTGTCACCTACAGAGCACCATTGGAAACACCAGACAAACAAGAATAACTATAAATAGTTTCAGAGGGTAGATCCCATCAACAGGGTAAGTCATCTAGAGGGAAACTTGAACAAAAGTGAGGCCCTCGCTCTCCCTCAGCTGGCTCTGAAAGTCTTTACATTCCTAACCCCTTTGTCCAGAGCTGAGCTCCAGGAACTGTCGCAGATGACACTAGAGCCGAACAGTGTGTGTCTAAACCTGGAACTTGATGGAGGTCTAGGGTTTAATTCACTGAAGTGCTCAACACAGGGGGCTGTCTGAGAGCATGAACGTGCACTTACATACATTTGCATTAATTACATTTCACATTGTTCAGAAGTGCTGGACATAGCATTGGGTGGGTGGGTGTGTTCTTCAATATTTTGCTTGTGGGTTTATTTGTTTCTTGGAAGAAAGAAGAGTTTGACACGCTATAGAAAAAGCAATGATTTGGGGCAGTGGTGGTTAAAGCATTCATCCAGGAAGAAGAAAACAAGGTTTCAAATCCATGTCTGCCCCCAGAAGATGATTCTAGCTTTTCAGGTGTCATTACTGGGGTTTGTGATCTCCCTAAGCATGGGCATATTCTCATTCACAGCATAGCTCTTTATTTTAACCATTGGCTGCCTAACATCTAAGAATACAATTGTCCTTTTAAGTAGAAATGGAAAGGCATATGGATTTTCGCATACTTTGAGAAGATATATGTGTCTAGCACTCAAAGTCACAGAGACTTAGTCTTATATGAATATTAGCAGTAGCCAGATGAAGTGCTTTAGTTCTGTGCTTCTTATGCTCCTGATAAAAGACATGTAGGCTGTAGTGAGTCCTGTGTTCCCCATTTATCTTAGCCACGTGAAATTGTAGGGTATTTGGTGTGACTGCATTATTTTCTGTTAGCTGAATTTTACCCTTTTTTCACCTCAGCCTAGGATACTCAAAACACCAGGTTACTCAAAACCCCATCCAGCCTGGCATTTAATGCTTCCAGGGATGGGGCATCTACAGCTTCTCTGGGCAACCTGTTCCAGTGCCTCACCACCCTGAGAGTGAAAAATCTTCCTGAAATCTGTCTCCCCTCCTCTATTTTGAAGCCTTTACCCCTTGTCCTATCACCACATGCCCTTATAAAAAGTACCTCTCCGGCTTTTCTGTAGGCACCTTTCAGACACTGGAAAGCTGCTATAAGGTCTCCCTGAAGCCTTCTCTTCTCCAGGCTTAACAACCCCAAATCTCCCGGCCTCTCCTCACAGCAGAGGTGCTCCAGCCCTCTGATCATCCTCGTGGCCCTCCTCCAGACTCACTCTAACAGGTCCATGTCCCTCTTTTGTTGGGGGCCCCAGAGCTGGATGCAGTACTCCAGGTGGGATCTCTTGAGAGCAGAGTAGAGGGGCAGAATCACTTCCCTTGACCTACTGGCCACCTTTCTTTGGATGCAGCCCAGGATGCGGTTGTCCTTCTGGGCTCTGAGCGCACATTGCCGGCCCATGTTGAGCTTCTCATCCACCAACACCTCCAAGTCCTTCTCCTCAGGGCTGCTCGCATTCTGTTCTCTGGCCAGTCTGCACTTTTGCTTGGGATTGCCGTGACCTACATGCAGTACCTTGCACTTGTTCATGTGGTTCACACAGGCCCACCTCTCCAGCCTGTCCAGGTCCCTGTGGATAGCATCCCTCCCCTCCAGCATGTTGACTGCACCACACAGCTTGGTGTTGTTGGCAAACTTGCTGAGGGCGTACTCAATCCCGCTGTCCATGTCCCAAACAAAGATGTTAAATAATACTGATCCCAGTACCGACCCCTGAGGAATGCCACTCATCACTGGTTGCCACTTGGACATGGAGCTGTTGATCGCAACTCTTGGAGTGCGGCCATCCAACCAACTCCTTATCCACAGGGTGGTTCATCCATCAAAGTCATATCTCTCCAATTTAGAGACAAATTTTCCCTCCATTCTTATTTTATTGATTTTCCTTGTATTTTCTGTTGATAGTATTGAGATCACTGAGCATACTGACAGTACAGTTTCTACTTAAATATAATTTTGGCATGCACTGGAATTTCTGTATTTATAGCTATGTCATAGTCCCCACTATTCATAGACCTGTTGTTGACTTGCATGATTAGCCCATCATATATTTGTAATACTATGAATACTTTCAAGCCTTGGAAAGCACAGAAATTCTTGCTTGAAAAAGCAGTCAGGACCATGTTTGGTCCTAGGAACAGCAGATAAAGACAGTATTTCCATTCTCAATATAAAAAAAAAAATAACCTTAATAATTTTGGACTACAAAACTGCTCTTTGGAAAGTCCTGTGATCACAATGCAAGAACCAGAAACCTATGGATCAGAAACAGTGTCAACAGAAGAACATCTAGTTCAAGTCAAACACACTGCCTGCTCAAGATCAAAAACATTCCTCAGTCCATGCAGTTATTTATTTGATGTTCTCACACATTCACAGCAGTGGTGTGCTATAGTGTGCAGGTATGGTTCCTCCTACATACTCTGAAAGGTAAGCATCCTGATGAAAAACTACAAGGGAAGTTGGGGTTCATCTCAGAAATAGAGACGTACAAGCATATAGTAAATCCATATAGTCAATCTACCCTTCTGTCTCCTGAGGGA